AATATCATCCATCACCTTAATAAATTGTAATCTTAAGTACCAATACCACTCTTGAGTTTTGAAATTTGAACTTTATATAAGTATTTAAATTTTATAGAAAATAAATATAATTATCTGAGATCAGCTTTCTCCTTTCTACGAATGACAACCCTCGGAAGGCGACACGTGTGCAAAAGATTACCGGGGTCTCACCTTTCAACGTGCGATTCCTAACACGGGTTAAACGATAAACAGTGAAAAACGATTGCCCGATCGTGGGGCTTGAACTACCGTTCTACATAGCAATTAATTGGATGAGTAGGTTGCAGCAATCACACCAATCCCACCGGCTGCCGTCTCAATTAAGTAACGAAACATTTTAGAAAAATTTAATCAGAAACAACTCTCAGAACTTTAACGGGAACTTGATATAGGTACTGCATTAATCATGCTGATTTTGCATAGACCAAATCCCATTTCAAAAGCGGTTATGTCAACATATCAGTAGGTCGTTACACCAGTTTCGTTTTTGTCTATCCGTGTGATTAGTTTTTGAATTATCAATTCGTTAACCCACTTATATTCGAAAAGACAAAAACGAAAGGTTTTCGACGTGAATTGACAATTACGGAATCAGTTGGAAATCCTGTATTCAATCCGGTTATTATTAGCAGTTCACAGAAACAAGGAAGTTACGTGTTCTCTAGATCAAATATTACTTACACTTAGGCAGGAGGTGCGTTTTTACTGCAAATTGCTGTTGAAAGATTCACTTTTTCACGCAGCTCCAAGTTTAATTGCAGATAATTCCATCTGTTATTGGATCATTTCACACAATTACGCGATGTCATGTGGGTAATTTTTTAATAGCAAACATTTTTCATTACTCATCAACTACACCGTTTATACCTTCCATTAAATATGACTCAATAGACCACACCCATGATGGTTTAAGAACTCTTCTTAATTGATTACAAGTTTTCTTTTAAACATTCTGAAAAAAGTCAATAATGAATGAAATGGTTTGGAAGGAGACGTGCTTTTTCGGGTATTATTCCGTTTAGTTATACCAGATCACTAGGCTAGCAGTCTCTGATAATAATAATGATTATTGCCAGAAAATCACAAACATATACATATAATAAAGTGAAAAAGAAAAAAAAACAAAATATACATGTCNGTATTTTTCGTTCGTTATTGTTTCAAGCTTATTTGAAAAAAACTATTTTTAACTATTTAGTTCGATGTTCTTTAAAATTTCTACTTCAGGTTGAAACAGTGTATGGAAATGAATCCCTAGATGGTCAAATAATAGAAAAAGGAAGAAAAAACAATAGCTAAGATGAAAAATAAATGAACTTTCCTAATAGATATATTTGAGTTTTATGTGACACCTGCAAATACATTTAGACACAGAAAGATAATAATAATTATATTGTTGAAAATTACATTGATGATATCAGCACAGTAATAAATCATTTGAAAAAATTGGTTTAAACCATCAAATAGAATCTGTTTCATTTTTTTTAAAGAATGAATTGACATTTGTTTATTTCAGATGACTAATAATAATAATGAGCCTAAATAAGCCTGATGTAGTCCTTTTCGACCACCAAAGCAAGACAATATCTGTCGTGTAGTTTACAGCTCCTGGCGAGACGAATATCATCCAAAAAGAGGAGGAAAAACGGATAAAATATCGGGATTTTCTCTTCGAACTCCGCAGACTCTATCCAGACCACTCTGGCAAGATGGTTGTTCTGATTATTGGAGTCCTTGGTAGAATGATGTCCTCTCTACTCTCGAATCTTAAAATCATACCGCACTGAGGCAGAAATCTTAGCCGGATAGATGCTAAAGGCTATCATTGTTGTCTCACTGCCCTTGCTCAGGGCACATGATTCTCGGACCCAATGATCACTTACCCCACGGTGTGGGGAGTGGTCATTAGTTGATAATGCTGGCGCGTCCTCCCGAATGTATCGGGGCTTCGGAGGATAGGGCCTATTTCCGGAAATACTCAAATTTTTCAAGTTTCAAAACAGTGAGTGGGAAATAGTGAAAAAATTCTTGATTACATCCTATGTGATGAGAACGAATTTTCTTATTTATATTTCAATTGGCCTAGAATTGATAAAACAATGAGAGGAATAGATTTTTTGTTTTGAGGTCAAACCACAAGCACTACAGGAAAATCTTTAAGGCGCTCTCAGAGAGGTGCCTGTGCGAAAGTACCGATTCACATTGAATTTGAATCGCTGAAAATTAAATCCTTTTGGATAAACGTTCTCATGAAGTCTATTTCTCATAAACACAGTTCTCCAGATGAAAGGGTTCTTGAACAGTGAAGTTCGAGGTGTACTGAGATGAACCTCGATCAGCTACAGTCCGTCGCGTATTTCTGATATGTACCACTTTTGGTAGAATCAAATGTGCCAAGTCACTTAAACAATTCCCGTGAAAGGATTCTTAGAAGAGAGAAAAATCTCCAATCCTTCTTCGATGTTCCAGGCTATCAAGGTTGCACGTGATATTTGCGTCTCCAATCAGGCGAATGGCTCTTTTCTGGATGGAATCCAGCAACTTCAGGGTATGTAGGGGACACAGCTCCATGCATGAGAACAATACTCCAAAGTTGCTGAGGTGTGTACAAACTTCTGGTTCGGAACAGTGTTTCATGCTTTTGAGAAGCAGCCTTTGCAATTCTAGCGACATGAATGTGCCAAAACATATTGGTGTCCATTTTAACCCCCAACAAACTTATTGGAGCAGAAAACGGAATTGTCTGACCTGACATTTATTTAGGAAATCCTGATATACATACAATAATAATAATAAATCAGTAAACAATAATAAAAATATTTATAGCTGTGGTCAGAATCATGGCTTTTGTTTTAGACACGTTTATATCTTTAGAAATATCAAAGGCCTTAGAAAAACAGCTCTTGATTCTCCATGTTTCTGGATTGCGTTATTCCAAATATGGGTGACATACGCCTGTTGATCTTTGTTTCCGAAAGCCGTATTGATAATACGCTCAATATGTTGAAGCCTTCCAAGTATTTGAGGATAGATAGACAGACAGACAGACATAATTTATTTAATCATGTTATGCATACAATAAATACATTTATGACAGGTAAAAAATGGTGGTTTACGACTTTCTCCATGATTTTTGATATCACAGATAGCAAAGCGACTGGTCTATAGTAATTTGGAAGAGTTTTCTTGCGCTTATTGGGAATTGGCTAAACACGAGCAATCTTCCAACAAAAAGGAAAACCCCTTTCGTATAAGACAGGTTGAAAAGTCTGCAAAATACTGGTGCCAGTTTCATTGCGCACATTCTAAGTATGATAACGGGCACTTCATATAAAATCGGCACCAATGTAGACTGTAGTTACGAAAACCAGAAATCAAACTGGAAAATAATCTGAGAATCAAATGGAACAGACATACAGTTATAAGAAAGAATTTGTCCTTATAATATTTCGATATTTTGACGAATTTGATATTAGGTGGTCATCAAAGAAATCCAACCATGTGTTATTTCCTAATCGAATTATTGTCATTATGTTTGTCTAATTAGATTCCTCCTTCAGAACGTCATTAGGAAGTATATCTTCATGTAGGCAATTTGCATTTCCTTCAATTATAAACAATGGGTACGTATAACAAGTAGGTAAATAAAAAATATATATGTTTGTCCTTCTTTCCATGCATGATGTGATTAATTAATGATCAAATTATTCAAAATATGACAAATTCATTGTTGTCTATTTCATTGTATCTCAGTAAAGTGAGAGTTGATTAAAGACTATAATCAGAACGACTAGACTTTAATGCTAATAAAATTGCAGAAAGCTGAATTTTTCATAAGCCTTTATTATAAGAAACATTCTTTGAAATTCAAATTGAAAGGGGTATATTTGTAGGAGAGATCAAATTTTTGGTAAAGAAAAGTATTTGACTTTCTACTTCTCCATTTGGAAAAGTCTCCACAAAAATGTGTAGATCATGCAAAGAAGTGACTTTCAGACAAAAACTGTAAGAAAAAGCCATATCGAAACAACTACTTTCATAAATATGATAGAACTGACCGATATTTCATGAAAATCCATCATGACGTATTCAACTTTTATGTGAAATTCCTCCTTGATGGTTTACAAAACCGTGACACGTGTTTCGCTATATAATAGCATCTTCAGGCGTCACAATACTCCATGTATTATATATTGTAGATTAGATATTGTGCATTGTATGTTATTGTATAGCGAAACACGTGTCGCCGTTTTGTAAACTGTCAAGAGGAAATCCCACATTGAAATGTTTTCTTGAATACGTTAAACTACTTCCATGTGAACACTGAATTATATAAAAAAACTTTCGAAACTACTACTTTTATATGAACTCTAAATATTCACTAGAATTGCTAGACAATAGGAGGGATACTATTTATATTTCGGGAATAGCAAATAATGACAAACATTTTTAAATGAAAATGGCTTATTGTTTTTCGAAATATTCCCCTTGATGATCAGTTGAGGAAGTGTTGTTTACATTCCATGCCCGTTTCAGATGTTTTATGATTTTTCAATTTCTAGAACTTTGTAGACTAACAGTTTCGCTATAGATGAGACTGCCTACTGATGAAACTGTTCCTTACTTTGAAATCTGAGTACTTTCAATGTTCACCTCAAGAAAAACATGGAAAGATTCGAGATGACAGCAAGCAAGTGAAATTCATTGCTGAGAATAGTAGAAAAACACAGACATGGTTGATATGTCAGATTTCAACACAATAATGTCCAGGCATACAAAGCAATATATCTTATCAGAGTCCCCTGACAAAGGAAGCTTTCTAGTAACTCTGAAAACTATTCCAGACTGAAATGGTACACACGTTAGCAGAAATTTGGTGCCATAGAATGTGCAAATTAAATCTTTTGAATATTGGTCCAGTATTTGGAAAGCCATGTTCCCAAGCAAAATCTGAAACTGGCGGATTCTATCTACCAATCTGGTACGGAACCTGATTGGAAAATGGGTCTATGAGTAACATGAAGGCTATTGGAAAAATGAGGATACCATTCAATGCGAGGATCTGGATCACGAATGGCAAACAATCCAAATTATGCCTTGACTAATATGACATACGTGCAGCAAGGGACCTAAACAGACTAGTACAGTAAACAAGATGGTTGGAATGGGTGTCTTATTGTGGAAAAACGCGGAGACTCGGTAAAAACAGTTTCTCCAATTTTTTTATATCAGAAGTACCTACGCGTAAAACTGTAGGTGGCCATCACTTCATAGTATTCGGTAGCTCTTGAACTACACTTTCTGAAACAGTCTTCTACTTGAAGAGAGAGAGAGAGATTATTGTAAAAACACTTCTTGAGATTTTTCAAATCGTTTCAGTGAAAGAGCCCAGGAGGACCAAGATAAAAAAATGTCAAGGTTTTACCCATTGTTTCTTCGATTACCGTGGCGTAGTGCATGAGGAGTTCTTACCACATGATCGTACGGTCAATATTATATTGAAATTATGCGCCGCTTGCGAGAAACAATACGAAGAAAACGTTCGGTATTGTGGAAAAGTGCTTCATGACTTTTACATCACGATAATGCACCAGCTCACTCGTCTCTGCTTGTTTGTAATTTTTTGGCCTAAAACAACACTGTAATCATGCCTTAGCCACCGTACTCACCAAACTTGTCCCCTGTGACAGCGTATTACAAAATCAATTTTTATATTACTCATGAATCTGTCATTTAGAATGAGTTCAGAGCCTGAATTATCGAATAACTGATATTGTTTGAAAGACTCGGACCGGCTTCGAATATTTTTCTACGAATGAGAATGACCAACTCTATTTTTCAAAAACACTAATATAGAGGTTACGACAACACATATGGAGGATACAGTGGAAGTAGCTATGGAGGGTATGGAGGTTTGGGAGGACTAGGAGGTCACGGAGGATATGGAGGATTAGGTGGACTAGGAGGGTACGGAGGATATGGAGGATATGGTGGATATGGAGGGTACGATGGCTATGGAGGGTCCAGCGGATATGGAGGCAGTAATTTCTTGGGTGGAGGATACAAGCCATATTATGGAACCAAAAGTTATTATAAGCGATAGTTTCAGTCGTATCTTGATATTAAAATTATATCCACTAGAAGGGGTGTAAAATTCGATTAATAATATTTATTAATTTGAATGTCACAGAATAATGTGCAATATTTCATTAAATGTTTATGTTTTATTATCTATCTTATTATTACTGACGATTCGTTGAAAGTTTAGAACACATGATTGAAAAAGATGAGATGAAAAAACAAAATATTTTTTAGAACATTTTGAAATTTACATCATATTGATTATGGTTATGGATAACTATTATTCCACAAACCGTTAAACAATTGGAATCTGAAATCTGATTAGATACACAATTCATTCACAATTCTTCATTTTGCACCAAATGTTGTTTTTACACTCAAATCATTTGACAAAGATTGTTTTTCTAAATTCAATAGGCAAGAAAACTATCATAAAAACATGAGCAATTCATGAACAGTCTAACCACAGAAAATCAGTTTTTCCACATTTTTATCAATTAATCGAATGAGTGCGTATATTGACGGGTATAATTTTGAAATTCCGAACACACCTAAGGAAATATGACCTCAATTCATTCCCAAAGAAAAAAAAATCGAGTTTTTAGACAAGTTCATCATCAATAATTGATGTTGCTAAGATGATGGCCTTTTTCACAAAATGATTCAGAAATATATCAACCGTTTATTTTGCGTATGGCTTATTCACATCACACAAGTTAACATAACAAACATAATTGTATAAAAGCATGAAAAGACACAGGAAATTAAGTTTAGATAGATAGATAGATAAATATACTTTATTGTCCAAGAATAAATTCTCATTGACAAAGTGTGATGAAAATATAAATATATGTGTATATATACGCCTGAAGAAGCTATTGTGTAGCGAAACACGTGTTGCGTTT